TCTTCCTCTGACCCCCTTAGCCATGGGCCGCCAGGTGAGTTTATGCCAGGCAAGCACTGGGCAGCCAAAGGTATACAAATGTCACCTGAGCAAAGAGAAATAATGAAAACTGGGAAGTTATGCTGCCGACAGATTGGCACCATTTTAATCTGATTTTGTGAGGTTTCTCTCCTAGGTTAAGCAGGAATGTAAACACTAAGCTGTTCCACCTGAACTGAGCTTTTTAAATGGTGCTGCCTTGGAATCAGAACTGTGGAAAATGATAATTTTCCATTAACAACAAGAAACGGTGTTAGACCAGTGTCTTTCTAGCACTTCAAAAGGCTGATGGGGTTCAGAGGTGAGGTTCTCAAAAAGTATACGGGTAACATTCAGCTTCCAGTTCATTCTCTCCCTGCCCCCTTCCATGACTAACAGAGATTTTACTTCCGGGAATATATGTTATGGAAATAACTCAAAATATGGGAAAGGGAGTCTTGAGTTATTTACATTAAAAAGGGAGGGAGGGAGGGAGGGAAGGAGGAGGGAATGAGGGAGGGAGAAAGAAAGGATCAACCTAAAAACTTTCCATTGAGGGATATTTAAATAATTGATGGAATTCTATTGAAGATATTATTGTGAATTCATTCAAATCATTTTGAAGAGTATGCAATAACATGCTTACTATAAATGCTTGTTATATGACTTCTGGAGGAAATACAGAATAGTATTATTATAACCACACATATTTGGGGAAGACAGGAAAGTATAAAAACAGTAAGACAAAAAATGAATAATCCAATCATCTAGAGAAATGATATTAACATGAATGTTTTCCTCTAGTCATTTTTCTAATCACGTATGTATGTGTATATATATATATATAAACATGTATTCTAATAAAATAAAATGGAGATCATACTATATACTTATTTTTATATCCTACCATGGTATATAATATTCTATTTATGAGCATTAAATATTTTTTTAAAAATATGATTTTTCATATCTGCATAGAAGTCTATCATGTGAACGTCACATAATTTATTAGCGTGAACCATACAAACAGGTGTTTTGTAGGTCAATATTTATCAACTATCAGTAATTTCGTAAGTTTCAACTTAGTAGAGGTGACCCTTGAACAACATGGGGGTTAGGGGCTTTGACCCCCTGTACAATCAAAAATCCTTGTATAATTCCAATTCCCCAAAAACTTAACTACTAATAGCTTGTTATTGACCAGAAGCCTCAATGATAACACAGTTGACTAACACGTTTTGTATGTGTTACACATGATATACTGTATTCTTATTTAAAAAAAAAGTAAGCTAGAGAAAAGAAAATGTTAAGAAAATCATAAGGAAAATACATTTATAGTACTGTATTGATTGAAGAAAATTTGCATATGAGTGGACCTGCATAGTTCAAACCCGTGTTGTTCAAGGATTAACTGTATTTATCTAATTCCCATTTGGAGTCCTTGGGTTATGTTAATTACTCATAATGGAATCAGTTTAAACAAATATTTAGTGCCTCTTATTTTATTTGGATAAAATTTCTAGAAGGAGAATATGTAGATTTTTAAGGTTCCTCAAATATTTTTCCATATTCCCCTTCAGAAAACTTGTACCAATCCACATTCCCATAGCAGTGTTTGTCATTCTGTTTTTACTGCACTCCAAGAAACTTCCTATAGTTTTTTTAACCCATAATATTCTAGAACAAATTGCCATGTTTCCTTTCTTTCCATTTAAGATAACTGTCTCCCCAGAATAGCTGTGAACAATTTATTTCATCAAAGCTTGTTGGTATGGAGAAAGAAAGATTTCCTGTTGAAACCTCTCTCTGGGAAGATCAAAATTAGAAATCAGTGCTGAAATATGGAGTGAGGAACATACAGGATAGGTTCTGGTGCAAGGTAAACAGAGCAGTAGGCAGAAATGGGAAATTTGAAATTCCAGGGTAAAATTCCAAAATCCCAAGGTTAGAGTCTAGAGAAGTGGTAGAAATCCAACAGTTCAGGCTGGAAGAGAGTGAAGTGAAAAGTATGATAGCCATTAAAAGAGAGTGCTTGGATGTCTTTGGTATCTAGCTATGACCAGTGATGTCTCCATCTCTGCCAGAGTAACCCCAATCTCTCAATCAGCATCCACATTGCTACAGAGACCTGAAACCTAGCGGTCACAAAATCATATGGCAACATAGTGTTGGATTATGGGTAAAGTCTAGAGGATCAGAAATTATAAAAAGGTGAGAGGCAAATAATTGAGAAGGTGCCCTCCTCGGGAAATTTCTACTAAATCGTTTTAATGTAAGCAGCAAATCACCCACTGGTTCAGATAAATACCTTCTCAAGAGCAGTAAACAAATCTTTGGCCATTCTGACTATCTCCCCTCCAAAAGGAAGGAAAATACTGGGAGGTTGACGGGCCCAATATAGCTTGGAGGCTACCTGAGTCCTCTGTAAAGGGAACTCAAAGAGTGACTTTGTCCTCCAGAAACAACCTAAAGAAAAGGTAGAAATACTCTAGCCAAAGTGACCCCAGGCCAACTAAAACATCAAGCTGAATAAAGATATGGAGACCTTTCAAGGGGAGGCTCCATAATGAGCAATTCCAAAAGCTTCTTTGAGCCATGGCAAATCCCTGGTTCCCAATAAAACTCCAGACCCTCCAAGTTTGTTTGCTTGGGGACTTCCTCTAGGAGCAAAACACAGAGCTTCCCTGGAGCTTTTCAAAGACCTTTTCACAGATTGCCACGTCCTCACCAACAGCAAGTACACCATCAGCAGAGATGCGTAAACCAGTAAACCAGCTTGGTCCAGCTCATGAACACACCCCGATCTAATTTTCCTCCTACAAGCTCATTGGCTATAAAGACATTCAAGCCTCAATAATTTAGTTTCACACATCACCAGCAACTAAATTTCATACTTGTCAAAGCTTAATGAGTTGCTCTTGAGTTGTGGGCCAGAATCTGGAAATGACCCTCATCCCTGTGCAGTTTCCCTCCCTTTCAGCCTCTCAGATTCTTGTCCTTTCATTGGACAGCCAGCAATAAAAACAGGTAGAGACAGAAAATGGATCCTGAAGCTTCTACATTTCAGAAAAGATCAAGAAATTCAGCTTTCATTTTTTTAAAAATGTTCCTCCTCCTTCTTCTGATTCAGACGTCGTGCATGCAGAATTAACTCCACATAGAACTTCTCAATTATATATAACTTTTCTGTTCATACTTTCTCTTCATATAAAAATTTAAACCAGTGGTTCTTGTATTCTTTCTACAAATACTTATTTGGGCATCTGACATACCTCCACAGATAACCATTTCCCACTGCCATTATTGAATTCACATACATTAGTATGACTTTGTCTACTCTATAGAGTTTAGATAACTTCATCTGAGAAGAGCTTTGAGGGTTTCAAATTCCTGGAAGACCCACTTAAAGTCTTAGAGAACATCAGTGGACCGGTACCTATTTTTCAGAACCTTTAAACACATCTTCTCTCACCTATTCTTGAATGTTACATTGCAGACTTCAGATGAAGCCCCTCAAATATTGCTGATGAGTTGAAGAATTATGTCTGGAGCATTTTTTTTTAATTTTTTAAATTTATGTTTAGCCTGTTTACATAGTTTTGTGTTGATTTTTTAGAAGTGGAAACCACAGTGGAACTTAACTTTCTATTTTATTTCCACCATACTCTTAGCTCCAAATTTTGAACTCCCATGGGTAATGAGCAGATTACACTTTCCCACTTTATTAGAGGGAAAAATGGCTTTATTTTAAACTATTTCCACTTTCAGTATGACCAAGAAATCTCCGACCAGACTGTAGCAACAAACAGATAACTATAAAGCATGGATAAATTATACAAACACAAATCAAATATCCAAAGGTTCCCAAGTGAACTCAAGCAGGTAAATTCTGGGTAAAAGCTGAGATTTGAGAAAAGGGATTGATTCTTGGTGAGTTAACAATTTCCATGCTTTCTACTTGAAGTCACACTGAAGTCAGTGTCACACAGGGTGACTATATCTCTAATAGAAAAGTCACATTTTGGGGGGGGAAAGGACCAAAAGACAGAAGTGGGGGCAACCACAGCTACAAGAAAATGAGAAGGAAATTCCAGAAAGGAGTGATCCAAAGAGGGAGGGCCTCCAATTTTTTAGATACACTCTTCCCAAGTATCTGAATGACCCATGAATCACACATGCATACGGAAGACTCCAAACATTTCAGCAAAAAAACAAAACAACACTAAACTGAAGGTTGAGCCACCACAAAAGAGGCAGCATTTGTAGCTTGATTCACCAATTTATTTGCCTGCTGAAACAAAACAAAAACTATAACAGAATTTGGAATATCTATTCCCAGTCATTCATAATGTTCAGGGCATGATTCAAAATTTCTTACCAAATAAACTATCCTCAACAAAATAAAGGAAAATATCCTCACAATAAATGAAAAGGCAGTAAATATCTTCTGATAAACAGAAACTATTTTTAAAACTATAAAGAAACACTAAAACTGAAAAACATTTTATCTAATATTAAAAATTCACTGAAAGTGCCTAATAATACAATGGAAAATACAGAAAAGTCAGTAAGCTTGAAGAAAATAGAAAAAAAAATCCAACCGAAAAGACAGAGGGAAATAAGACTGGAAAAAAAATGAAACAGATCCTCATAAGCCCATGGACCCATAGAATAATTTTTTTAAAAAGTCTAATATGTGTGTAATTGGAATTCCATGAGGAGAGACAAAATGTGCATTAAAAATATTTAAAGCTATAATGGCTGAAAATATTACAAATTTGCTGTTAAGACTTAAATTCACAGATCCAAGAAGCTCAGTGAACTCCAAATAGGAAAACTATGCCCAGTATTATTATAGTCAAATTGCTGAAAACCAAAGATAAAGAAAAAATCCTGAAAACAATAAGATAAAAACCCACAACGCATGAGAACCATGATTCAAATTGAATGACTTCTCATTAGAAATTATGGCAGCTGGAAGAGAGTGGGACTTTTTTTCAAGGACAGGTGGGGGTGGGATAGTGAAAAACTATTAATCCTGAATTCAGTATCCAGTGAAAATATTTTTCAAGGATGAAGACAAAGACATTTTCATATAAAATAAAACTAAGAATTTATTGTCAGCTGATATGCTGAAAAGCTAAAGGAAACCACAGGCTGAAAGGAAATGATACCAAATGAAAACTCAAGTATACAGTAAGAATTGTAAAACATCAAAAATGGTAAATAGCTGAGTAAATATAAACTTTCCCCCTTCATTTCAAATTCATAAGCACTTACCAAAAATATATAATATTGTCTATTAGGGGTCATAAGTTATATTGATATAATACATGTGATAATTATAGCACAAAGGATTGGGTTGTAGAATGGACTCACATAGTTGTTTTTGTTTTTTTTTTTCCATTTTGTATTTTTTTATTAGTAACATATAATGTATTATTTGTTTCAGGGGTACAGGTCTGAGATTCATCAGTTTTACACAATTCACAGCACTCACCACAACATATACCCTCCCCAATGTCCATCACCCAGCCACTCCATCCCTTCCACCCCGCTCCACTCCAGCAACCCTCAGTTTGTTTCCTGAGATTAAGAGTCTCCTATGGTTTGTCTCTCTCTCTGGTTTAGTCTTGTTTCATTTTTTCCTCTCTTCTCCTATGATCCTCTGCCTTCTCAAATTCCTCATATCAGTGAGATTATATGATACTTGTCTTTCTCTGATTGACTTATTTCACTTAGCATAATACCCTCTAGTTCCATCCACATTGTTGCAAATGGAAAGATTTCATTTTTTTGTTGTTGCCTGAGTAATATTCCATTGTGTATATATATATATACCACATCTTCTTTACCCATTCATCTGTCGATAGACATCTTGGCTCTTTCCATAGTTTGGCTATTGTGGACATTGCTGCTATAAACATTGGGGTGCATGTGCCCCTTCGGATCACTATATTTGTATCTTTGGGGTAAATACCCAGTAGTACAATTGCTGGGTCGTAGGGTAGCTCTATTTTCAACTTTCTGAGGAACCTCCAAAGTGTTTTCCAGAGTGGCTGCACCAGCTTGCATTCCCACCAACAGTGTACCAGGGTTCCCCTTTCTCCACATCCTCGCCAACATCTGTCATTTCTTGACTTGTTAATTTTAGCCATTCTGACTGGTATGAGCTGGTATCTCATTGAGGTTTTGATTTGTATTTCCCTGAGGCGGAGTGATGTTGAGCACTTTTTCATGTGTCTGTTGGCCATTTGGATGTCTTCTTTGCAGAAATGTCTGTTCATAGACATGCCCATTTCTTCATTGGATTATCTGTCCTTTGGGTGTTGAGTTTGATAAGTTCTTTATAGATTTTGGATACTAGCCCTTTATCTGATATGTCATTTGCAAATATCTTCTCCCATTCTGTCGGTTGTCTTTTGGTTTTGTTGACTGTTTCCTTTGTTGTGCACAAGCTTTTAATCTTGATGAAGTCCCAATAGTTCATTTTTGCCCTTGCTTCCCTTGCCTTTGGCGATGTTTCTAGGAAGAAGTTGCTGCGGCTGAGGTCGAAGAGGTTGCTGCCTGTGTTCTCCTCTAGGATTTTGATGGATTCCTGTCTCACATTTAGGTCTTTCATACATTTGAGTCTATTTTTGTGTGTGGTGTAAGGAAATGGTCCAGTTTCATTCTTCTGCATGTGGCTGTCCAATTCTCCCAACACCATTTGTTGAAGAGACTTTTTTCCACTGGACATTCTTTCTTGCTTTGTTGAAGATTAGTTGACCATAGAGTTGAGGGTCCATTTCTGGGCTCTCTATTCTGTTCCGTGGATCTATGTGTCTGTTTTTGTGCCAGTACCATACTGTCTTGATGATGACAGCTTTGTAATAGAGCTTAAAGTCCGGAATTGTGATGCCACCAGCTTTGCTTTTCTTTTTCAACATTCCTCTGGCTATTTGGGGTCTTTTCTGGTTCCATACAAATTTTAGGATTATTTGTTCCATTTCCTTGAAAAAAAGTTGATGGCATTTTGATAGGGATTGCATTAAATGTGTAGATTGCTCTAGGTAGCATTGACATCTTCACAATATTTGTTCTTCCAATCCATGAGCATAGAACGTTTTTCCATTTCTTTGTGTCTTCCTCAATTTCTTTCATGAGTATTCTATAGTTTTCTGAGTACAGATTCTTTGCCTCTTTGGTTAGATTTATTCCTAGGTATCTTATGGTTTTGGGTGCAAGTGTAAATGGGATCGACTCCTTAATTTCTCTTTCTTCTGTCTTGTTGTTGGTGTATAGAAATGCCACTGATTTCTGTGCATTGATTTTAAATCCTGCCACTTGACTGAATTCCTGTATAAGTTCTAGCAGTTTTGGGGTGGAGTCTTTTGGGTTTTCCACATAAAGTATCATATCATCTGCAAAGAGTGAGAGTTTGACTTCTCTGCCAATTTGGATGCCTTTTATTTCTTTTTGTTGTCTGATTGCTGTGGCTAGGACTTCTAGTACTATGTTGAATAGCAGTGGTGATAGTGGACATCCCTGCCGTGTTCCTGACCTTAGGGGAAAAGAGATGTACTTCAAATATAAAGAAACCAAGAAACAAAAAAGTATTAGTCTAAACCAAAAATCAAAACAAACAAAAAAAAAGGATTTATCAAGAAAACTTGACAAATCTCCACAAAAGCCTGTTTAAGAAAATAGCTTCTGTGAACTTTCTAAACTTTTTCCTACAGAACATAGTACACAATTCACTGATTTTAGCCAGACACAAAGATCCTTTTCTACATTCAAACTATCTCCATTAACATATAATTACTCCTCATAGAAGTGGGACATCATATCTTATTCCCTTCCTTCTAAGTCCTCTTTAAGCAAACATACTCCTCTTTACCCCCTCCCCAAGCCCAATCACTAGGCAAGGTCTATGCACCTCTGTTCCCTCATTACACATCCTCAAAAACTCTTGACCCCAACACATACATTTTGAACATTATAATCCTAATTGCCTCTTGAAAGGAGGTAGGAAATGTTGTCTCAGATTGACTTTTATTTACGAACTAAATTATATCAACTGGCTTTCACTTTCATGATCTATTTTACTGTTTTCTATATAGCTGAAGGTTTAATCGTCTGTAATTGACATAATCATTCTCTCCTCGGCCTACACAATTAAATGGAAGTGATTCTCTCTGGGAAGTTCTCTGCTGAACCAATCCATGATCTCAAGATGATGTCAGTGTGGAATGAAAACTCTTCTGTTATTACTACACTGAGTTGGGTATGGCAACGTAAATGCAAAATTCATTTTTTTAAAAAAAAAGGTGACTAGGGATAGCACATAAGAGTTTTTGACTAAAACAGATCTCAAGCAAGAAGGATTGTTGATTTAAATAATTGGTCTCCTATGACTAATGTTATGACAAGTTACAATCTGAAGAGACACTCAAACCTTAGAACGTAAGATGTATGGTAGAAGATTCATCATACGGCAGGCATAAACACTGAATTAAGCTAATACAATTGCACAGAGCTATAGACCCAAAGACGTTTCCCAGCACAAGAGTTAGATGAAGTGTCTCCTCTTTTGTTTCAGAAAGATGAGCTGAGAGTAAGCTGAGGGATAAAAGTGCTTTGATAAACATGGTGGGCTTATAAATGTCAAACAGGAGGGAAAAAATCAAATAGTGAAGAGGGATAAAAGTGAAAAGGTAAAATTCCTACTTTCACCCTCCTCTCCCTCTCTCTCTGTCATTTCCCATGCGCCACCCCCATGCCCCAATCCTACTTCCCAATGGTAAATGGTTTTAAGAGTTACTTGGATACCATTCCAGAAATTTCTATTTATGTGTTTATATGTTTATTATATGTTCTCAAACCCCTCCCTTGCCTTTTTAAGATAAACTTTTAAACAAAATAATTTTAGATTTATAGAAAACTTACAGAGAATTCCCATCCAGGAATTGTTAATATTTTCCATAGTCGCAGTACATTTGTCAAAACTAACAAATTAACAATGATATATTACTATTACCATAAACTGAACTATAGACCATATTCAGATTTCACTAGTTTTTTCATTAATGTCTCTTTTAATTCTTTATATCATATGGCCTCATAAATATTTATTTCATACTTTATAGTGTAATACTACACTGTTCTTTTTAACATACATGAAATCATTTTATGTGAAAAGTTCTGAAACTTTCAGATTCACCTAATCCACACTATTTTTCCATATCAGGCCTAAATAGCTCTATTTCATTTTAACTACTATATAATATTGTAAAAATGTTTCATATTTTACTTATCCAGTCCTATTTTCTAAGATATTTAGGTTGTTTTTATTTTTATTTTTATTCAAACAATGTTCAATGAAATTCCTGTGTATGTCTTTATGTATTGCAAGCCTATATCAATAAGATAAATTCCTAAGAGTGGAATTGTTGAGTCAAAAGTTATGTGCAATTTCCAATGTGATAGACATCATCTAATTGTTTTCCAAAAGAGTTGCACCAATTATTACTGGTGATGGGTTTTTAATAGGTCACTGCCTTTGTAGCCGGGGACCCACTTTCTTTTTGTAACTGTGATCCAGAGCCCCCTTTCCTAGTTACAGCACGATGTTATCTTTATATTTTGTGTATAGACACACTAACTTGTAGATGTGGGACTTAAGTTTTAGTCTTAGGTTGATGTGTTCTGATCGGAAACTAACAGAAGCTGCAGAAATAACAGGAGAAACGTGAGGCTTGCTATAACATGGAAGCAGAAAATAACACCAAGAGAAAAAATAATCAGAAAGGGGGGAGGGGAATGGGGACCCAAGGAGATTATAAATTCAACAGCAGGACCTGACAAATTAGAGAAACAGACCAAGGTGTGTTCTTAAGAAAGAGACTGTTTCAAGAGCTTCTTGACATAAGATTCTAAGAAAATGGAATAACCAGCTCAGGATATAAGGCTAACCCTTGCAGTCATTCTTAATATTTACCCAAAGAGGTCTAGCATACCAGCAATTGTTGGTTTTGTCAGGAACTAGCAATTGAAAGAGGTGATGATAAAAAGAAGAACATTAAAATCCAAAGCATGGCTTGTTTTAGGCAAAAGATAGCTGAATTCTAAAAAGAGTTGTTTTATTTTCTTTTGTTCCCCTCTGATGGGTCTCTCCTTGGGACTTCTTTCACCACAAATCCTTTGGCAAACAGGATGCTGGCCTGCTGTGACAGATGCTCCTCTAAATCACAGGTGAAAGAGTAATGCCTTCTTTTTATTTCTTGGACAGTGCTGGCAAAGTAAGACAGTAGTCTTCTTCCCAAGCCTCTGTCTAAAGGTTTTCCTATCATTTTTGCTACAAGTAGAGCCCACGCAAAAAAAAACCAACCCCCATAGCACAATAAATATTAACACATTCCTAATAGAGAAAGCTGCCTCTTTCCTAATCACAGATTTGCTGACTCGTTTGGGGTTGGTTTACATTGAGTCACTAAGAAGTCTATTCAGGTTATGGCACTGGTCTTTTTAATAATGATACAGAATCCCCACACCTCTCAAATGGACATCAAGTTTGGGGGCCATTTATTTTCGTTACCCCCTCTCCCTGGGAAAGACCAAGAACACCATGTTTCTGTATTTAAAACAATTAGCTGAAACACTGCTGCTATTTAACATCTTATCTATTAGAAAATGTTCATTCTTTGTCATTGTGCCTGAAGCCAATGTTACAAAGGTAACAATTATTTTAAAAATAGAGACATAAATTAAATAATACTAACTTACAAATTTAAAATTGAAACAATCCCCTACATGTTCTTCTTGGGCAGCGCTTCCTTGTCCCAAGAGATCAGTAGGTAAATGACATCCTATTTTCTCTGTTTGCACAACATGAATCATGGGGGTAGGAGGGAATACAATAACATTCTTGCACCAAATAGCTTGGTCTCTCCAGTTTGTCACTAATATATAATGAGTTTGCAACCCATGGATTTTGCAGGCTGATTCTCTGTGACCTAAGGAGTCACAGTGACACTCCCAAAGGCTACACTAATTCCTTTTTAAATAAACGAGGGAGGGGTGGGGGGATGGGTTAGCCTGGTGATGGGTATTAAAGAGGGCACGTTCTGCATGGCGCACTGGGTGTTATGCACAAACAATGAGTCATGGAACACTACATCTAAAACTAATGATGTAATGTATGGGGATTAACATAACATAATAAAATAAGATTTAAAAAATAAAAATTAAATAAATTAAATTAAATAAACAAGGAAAGGGCTGCTAAGCATGCACATTAGGAACTGAGCTATTTCCATTACCCTATTATAAGAAAAGCACTAGACAGACGGCCCAGGTACCAGCTATTATTGACCCCTAACTTCAGAAACTCCTTTGCAATGAGCTTTCCATACCTATTTGGATGGGAAATGTACTATTGCTTCTCTTCTCCATGAAGCTATCAAGAAACACACTTCAAAAAATTCCCAAGGGACACATAATCATTCTTTCAAAATAGCAATTTGGCTGTAGCAGCCTTCTTCACATTCAGCTAAGCAGGTCTGTGAATGGTAATGGAGACACCTAATGCCTTTTGGGCTTTCTGGGGCTAGGGGAAATTCACCACTGTATGTAATTAGTAAGAAACAGCAAAAAAAGACAACTGTAATGGGACGCCAAACTGAAAATACACTAACAAACAAGTATCAACAACATTGCTGAGACCCTTTGTGGAAGATGATTTTTTTTTTAAGATTTTATTTATTTATTTATTTGAAAGAGAGATAGTAAGCAGGGAGAGGGGCAGAGGGGGAGCGAGAGGAAGAGAATCTCAAGCAGAGACCCCACTAAGCATGGAGCCCGACATGGGGCTTGATCCCAAGACACTGAGATCACAACTTGAACCAAAACCGAGAGCTGGACGCTTAACCTACTGAGCCACCCAGGTGCCCCAGAGGAGATGATTTTCTAATGTTAAGACTTCCAAAGTCGGGGCACCGGGGTGGCTCAGTCGTTAAGTGTCTGCCTTCGGCTTAGGTCATGATCCCAGGGTCCTTGGATCGAGCCCCACATTGAGCTCCCTGCTCCGCGGGAAGCCTGCTTCTCCCTCTCCCACTCCCCCTGCTTGTGTTCCCTCTCTCGCTGTCTCTCTCTCTGTCAAATAAATAAATTTTTAAAAAATCTTTAAAAAAAAAAAAGACTTCCAAAGTCATAAGTGAGCAGGACTTCACAGGGGCCTGTGGAAGGAGAGCGGAAGATCCATAAGAAAATCACAGATGCTATTTTATTTCCAGGGCTTTTTTTTTTTTTTTTTTTTTTTTTACCCGCTGACTCTTTCTTCTCGGTTAACATATCTGGTGTCACCTCTTCCCTCAACAACAAGGAAAGCAACAACAAGATTCTCAATTATTAGTCACGGGGTTACCTACAATGGAGTAGGAGGTCCTCACCTGCTAAGATGCGGCCAGCAATGACTGTGTGAAGAACATTCCAAAAGCCCACAGCCCAGTTCTCCCCCTGCTGGGTGTCGGTTGGATCGGGGAAAGCAGACCAAGGCCAGTGGGG